ACTTAATAACATTACAACAAATTTGTCGAGATACTGTTAAAATAAAAAAGGAATTTTAATGCTTCTAATCAAAAATCTAAAATAGAAAGCTTTGGGATCGACGTAGTAAATGAGAAAGTAAACATAAATGTAAATTGCGCAATTCATGAAAGGGCTATATTCTTATGTTAGAGAGCAGTTCATTTTTAAACAAAGGATATAAAACCGATAGAGAGGGCATCCTGTAGATATCCCATTCTAAACCGTCTGGGCCCCGGTCAATTTGGGATCCAATTACGAGCAGCTTAGTGGAAAAAAATTCCCAGAGCGAGATCCAATTTAAGCGCGTCAAGTGTAGTTTAAGAATTTGATTCAGACATAATTTGATACTGACAACGTGCAGTGTTGTAATATTGTTTAATTAAATTTTATAAGCGATTTTTGTAATGACTTAAACATTAAAAGTATTCCAGAATATAAAGATTCAAAATTTGATGATAAAACAATTAAAAAATTAGAAATGATTCCTTCATAATTCACCCAATATAAACTGACGTATACCTCTATCGTTGCATTGTTGTCAAAGAGTTTCAAATAATCTGCTTATAGAGCGGACATTCGCAAAATTTATCTATAAACATTTAAACAATAATAGTCGTCAAAGAAATGATATTTCACACGAAGGCGTGTCAAACTAAGACCGAGTCAAAAATCTCTGCATAAAATATATCGTCATCCCTATCTCTCATCGTTAACAAACAGAGATAACAATATGTTTTAACGGAGATTATAGTTTGCGAAAACCACGGTATGTCCAACTCGAAATTAATATACATTTTTTTCTTTAATCAAGAGTTTAACGAGGTTATTCGATATTGTTATGGCCGTATTTTATTTGTTACAACGCTGCCAAATCGGCTGCGCTCTCCTCTCCGCTTGCAAAATACCTTTTACGATGATATAATGAATATTTGATACAAAAACCGTATTGGAAGCTTGTTGCCAACAAGATATATCAACAAGAATCTAGATTCAAATGGATAAGAAATACTTCGTTTAATTTCAATCTTTATTTACACATTTTATAGTTATAGTAGAAAATATTATATATAATTGGGCATTATTATCGCAAGTTTGTCACTAGATGGCGTTGTGCGCTAGTTGAAATTGATTTTACTTTTAATAGTGTTAACTATGATGCATTAGTTTTTCGCTTGTACGCTTGTAATCGGCAATAATCAGACTGAAACATGACACGACAATAATAAAAATCTTACTTCCTACTACTATTATACTCGTAAATGCGAATGTGAATGAATGGATGGATGTTTGTTTGAAGGTATCTCCAAAAAGGCTGAACGGATCTTAATGAAGAATACATGAGCTACTAATCTTTTTTTAATGCCGCGCGGACGGAGTCGCGGGCGATAGCTTGTAAACTATATATTTGTGACATACCATATCCGTTATTTGTTTTAGATCATAGTCCAGCTTCGATGAGTTGACGACTGGTTTACGTAAAGTAATTATTCTGGAGATCTGCCAAATAACGGGATCTGTACGAGGTGTCCCAGTATCTTGTATCGTTAATACGTGATTTTTTGCTGACGAATTGTTATATCAAAGAGTGAATTTAATTAGTTATTCGTTATTTAATGACTTAAGCTTTTTAAAATCGACTGTGAAATCTAATTAGCTTTATATTAGTACTAAAATCACGACACTCATTACATTTACTTGAGTTTTTCTGTTTACATACTTATTTCATAGATAGTAGCCGATTGGTAGACCTACTGAATATTGATATAAAATATCATAAAAATCGGTCAAGCTGTTACGAAGAAGTATGGTAACACTGTGACACGAGAATTTTATATTTAAGTTTTTTGATTTACATATTTTTCCTTCTTCCCTAGCCTTTGGGGTTTGAATTTCAACTTTTACGATAAATCATGAAACTCTTACTTCTTACTAATATAATAAAAGCGAAAGTTTAGATGTATGGATGGATGTTTGTTTGAAGGCATATCTCCGGAATGGCTCAAAGGATCTGGATGAAATTTGGCATAGATGTAGAACAAAGACTGAAGAACACACAAGCTGCTTATTAACTTTTTTTTTAATTAAGCGCGAACGGAGTCGCGGGCGACAGCTTGTAATTCATGATTGCAGACGTTAATTTGCTAAAATACCACTGTTATACTGACATCTTATAATTGGATCACACTAAGGGTAATTTTATTAATTTATGTCTTGTCGATAACAGTTGCTATTCCGTGCTCCAGTGGCAAATGACCTTTCACACCTAGGAAACTTACCCCTACTGTATATGTTGACGAAGACCAAGATATAATGGTCGTTTGTGCCACTAAAGTCGTAATTAACACCTGTGTTTCACCAAGTTTGTGACGCATAACTTCCTGTAACTCAGGACACAAAACATACAATGTTCAGACTCACAGATTACTTGATGAAATTCCCTGAAATCTTGTTACAAATAACATACTTACGTGATATTAAGTCGTTAAAATATGTCTTTTGTATCCACGTAACGATAACATAGTTCGTATCTTAAATGAACTAATGTCCCATAAGATTAAACTTTAGGTCAACTTAAGTTTATGTTATTAATTTATATAATAGTTTATTCATGTTTTCATTTTAACACTTTGACAGACGCTGGGGATTGTAACGCCACCAAAACTATCGAAGTAGAATATCCTGGAGTTTTTCCCATTACTTTAATAGGGTACTACTTATATCTTGTTCATTCCTTTTTAGGGTTCCGTACCTCATAGGAAAAAAACGGAACCGTTATATGATCACTTTGTTGTCTGTCCGTCCGTCTGTCAAGACCCTTTTTCTTAAAAACGCGTGAAGGTATCAAGCTGGAATTTATTTTGCATCGATTTAATAATTAAGTTAACTAATTCCAAAATAATATTTAAATAAAAGATTTCTTTTGTTTCTTGTACCCGATAGACTATCCTAATATATAGGAGGGAAGGAGAAATATGTTATTTTTGTGTGTCTACTTCTCTGTCGATTAAAGGCCAACGCTCTATGGACAAAGGATACTTTGCTATTTTGCGAATACAAGTTGCCGCGCGTTTGCCACATTTGCTATTAAAGATATACATTCAAATCAGGTACCGTAAAACATTCGCATTTAAATGTTAATATCATGCGTCAAAACTTCGCAGACATGGTGTACTTTAAAGTTATTCAAAACAAAATTCCCACTTTGAGGCAAAAATCGTAAATATTTAAGTTGAATACCAAACGTATGTGGTTCACGCCACTTCGCGCTCGTTAAAACTTTGTTAGTTTTGATTAATTACGTCCCACGACGAGAGAATGTCAACCGCTCAGAGCCTGGCTGACTACATTTATAGTTCTTAATTTGAAATAATTTCAGCTTTTAAAAAAAGAAAAAATAACAGCCAGTCTTTGCTGTCGCTATAAACTCAACTTTTTATACGTCTTTAGTGATATTCAACGTGGTGCTTTCCTTTGGCCGAATCTTACTAATATTATTAATACGAATGTTTGAATGTAATGGATGGATGAATAAATACATGTTTGTAAGTAGGTATCTCCAAAATGACGGTGCAGATCTCGCCGAAATTTGGACACCTAGGCTACTTATTAAGCAAGTTACTAAGTTCGCGCCGCGCGGCCAGATAGAGTCGCGGACCACAGCTAGTTTAGAAGAAATTAATGTTTATTAATAATTACAGCCTTAGTAATGACTTAACAATTCTAACTGCGACAGTCCATTAAAAAGTAATAAAAACAAACGAAAGTTCTTATTAATTCTCCTTATCTAGCGAACCAACACGTTGACAGCTGAATGTTTTCCCCGACCCCAAACACTTCCACCGCCATCAATATCTTGCCTTTATTTTATTTACAGATTCAATAGAATATAACGCGCACTCTGTAGACCAGTCAATTTACGGCGATCCGGCCTCTGCCGAACGTCCGTTTGATCCCAGGTACGTATCCGGGACCTTCTTTTGTGGTCGGCACAGCGTGAAATTGACTCGTTCGATTGTCTATCCGATGTAAAAAGACTTGTTTGCCGACTGGCTGAACGAAATTACTTCCTTTGCCTCGCTTGTAATAAGTAAACACCGAACGACATTCTCTATTGAATTATGTATGTTGCTTTGTATGATATCAGTTTGAAGTTTTCGGTACAAATAATATTTATTTGTTGATGAGTAAAACCAAATGAATATATATGTAAGTTCTTTTATTTATTTTTCTTTTTCAAAAGACTTCAAAGATTGTTATCAAAGAAAGCCATGGATTGCCTTAACTTATATTTACAGTTTGTACAATAAATTCTGAAATAAAACTTTAATATCAATGCGAATGTTTGGATGTATGGATGGATGGATGACTGTTAGAAGGTAACTCCTTAACAGTTGCATAGATCTCGCTGAATTGTGGCATAGATTAAAAATTAAGCTTGGAGGAATACATAGGCTACTAATTAAGTTTTATTTCCGCGTGGACAGAGTCACGGGCGACAGCTAGTAGTAAAACAAGACTATTTAACAATGATACATTTACTTTCAATGACCATATCTCGTAACAAAGGTCTTATACTAAATAGATCCTAATTCTATCGAAACAATCACGAAAGAAGATCTTACTAATATTATAAATGCGAATGCTTAGATGGATGGATGAATGGATGTTTGTTTGAAGTTTTCTCGAGAACAGCTGAACAGATCTTGATTAAATTTGGCACACATGTGCGCATGCTTCTCATTATGTTTTTTTTTATTCCACAAGGACGGAGTCGCTGGAGACCTCATGTATACCAATAAAATAAATGTTAGCGGAATTCAGTAAAAAAATAAAAACATACTGAACGGCTACATCCAAAAATAATAACAAAGTCTTTAAAACTTAAATTCCATCAACGTAACTAATTTAATGTAACACATACAGTCTTTATCTTGTTTTATATTAAACACAATACGATGTTTAGTAATTAATTTCTTCACATGAGCAATGACATTAAAATTAGTTTACGTAGCATTTTAAAATATTGGCCTGCAATATCCAGACCAAGTAAGCCTATAGCCAATCGGACATTGGTAAGGAATAGATATCATATAATTCAATGATTTAGGATCCACACAGTTTCCTTCAGCATCTTTAACAAGATTTTCTGGACAACTTTTTGACGTCACTTCTTTCTTTTCAATATTTTGAGTATCACAACCACTACATAATTTCCCATGATATTTAGGTTCAATTATTTCCACGTCTGGATTAATTGTGATCACATCGAAATCATTAACTCCCGGAGTATTTGATTCTATTTCTTGTAATTCAATATTGTTTTCGGTAACTACAAGTTTACTGGTTGAAGTTGGTATATCTTCGGCTGGTTGTTGAGAGAATTTGTCGTATACAAAATGTTTATATACATTTAGTACGACACTGCATATCTTAGTAAAGAAATTATCTTGTGTACTATTATTTTCTGCAACTTGTTCATTTTCTTTTGGTAGAATTTTAGATAGACCAATTTTATTCACTAATATATCAGCAAAAATTTCACTCCACGACAAAGATGTTGCTTCTTTATCCGTTCCACTATGAATTATCGTTTGTAATTTCCTTAGAAAAACCCCATCATTGGTTGTTTCTTGAACATTTTCTGGTTTTGTTAGTAGAAGACAATACGTGTTGGTTGCAAGAATAACTATAAGACTGAATACTGCAGTTTTCATGTTATCGGCTTTGTGTGATGTTGTCAGTACAATAATGGAACTAACCGTAAAATTGAACTGTAGTTGATAATAAAGATAGTAAGGATACTGCTGTCGTACAGTCACTGAGAAAAGTCTTAAACATTTTTATTATATTATAACTAGCTGTCGCCTGCGACTCCGTCCGCGCGGAATTGTACTATACTTAATAAGTAGCCTATATCTCCTTGTAGATTATATTCTATATAGATGGCAAAATACAGCTGCTGTATTCGTCTAAACATTCGCATTTATAATATTAGTAAGATATATGTACAATTGTATAATACTAGCTGTTGACCGTGACTTCGTATATGCGGAATTAAAAATAGATAGTAGCCGATATTCAGAACTACTGAATATGCACATAAAATTACATAAAATTCGGTCAAGTCGTTTCGGAGGTGTGTGGTAGCTAACATTGTGACTCGAGAATTTTTTTTATAAAATATTTTAACAGGATTTTGAAGTTATCTAGGTTATGACGGTTTTGACAACTTTTGAATTACTTTTTATACCTTCCACATTCGTTTTGAATATACCAAAAATAATTCATTTTTCATACGTTTCTCTATTTCACTTGTTCTGCGCGACTGTACCACCATATCAAAAACGATAACGTAGGAAAGATAATAAATTAAGCAAACATTTACCATGTGACGTACAGTTTACATCAAAAATTTATTTTTATCTATGGTGAAAACAATCTCTATCAGTAAATCAAGTGTTAAATGTATCAAGGACGCCTAAGTATTTGATATTTTGAAGAGTTTTCAATTTAACTTACAGAAATAAATCGATAAGACAATACCATAGATTGGTTTAATATTTAACCGCTCTACTTATCTTTTTATCTAAAATTTGCGTAATAACCAAGTGATCTTATATTACTAATATATAAATGCGAATGTTTTGATGGATGGATGTTTGTTAGATGGTATCTTCAGAAGAGCTGCATGGGTCTCGTTGAAAATAAATCTAGAATATAGTCTGGAATAACCCATAGACTATTATTTAAGTTTTTTTTTAATTACGTACTAACAGAGTCGCAGGCGAGAGTTAGTTGTTTATTTTTTATAAATATTCAGTACAGAATAGACGTAGTAGTCTACTCTACCCCAAATGATTAAAAGGGATGTAATAATTCACATATTTTCATGTTTACATTAGTACTACCTAAGTATTGTCAGTCTGTTTATAACGTTTCTCGCATTACAATTTTTTTAGAAGAAAGTTATTTTAAGCACAACACTATTTTATATCTGTCCTTTCGTTATTTACCATAATTTATGTCCTAAATTACATATATTATTATATTAACTGTTTATAATCTTAGTTAATGTTTAGGTTAACACAATGTACTCCAATACAGTGAATATCAATCCAATTTCACGGCTCCTGGTCACCGCACCTTCGGACAAAGTCCTTTTAGTCCTCACGAACACTCTCAATTGTGGTCACCGCTTCACTGATTTCTTTATACGTTTTTATAGAATTTTTCTGACATTTTATTTAGTTTATTATTGGATTTTTGATTAACTTAGCTATCTTCTAATTAGAATGAATTCAAATCATTTTATAATACTGTCCGTATGTTTATCGTTTTGTTTGATTTATAGAATAACTAGCTGTCGCCCGCGGCTCCATCCGTGCAGAATTAAAAAACTTAGTAAGTAGCCTATATGTTGTGCCAGACTATGTTCTTAATCTGTGCCTAATTTCATCGGTATCCGTTGAGTCGGTCAGGAGATACCTTCTAATAAACATTCATCCAAACTTTCGTATTTATAATATTAGTAAGATTTAAAGATGGTTGTCAATTAGACAACCATCTTTTTTTTCAGAGCGGAGTGCTTTATGCATTCTCCGCGCCTCGGGGGGGGACGCGGTAGTTATGTGGGATTCTCCTCCATATCGGAGGTATACCCACTAAACCTCTCTGTTCCTCCAACGCATGGGGACGGGGCCACGGGCACGCTAATTGACTGCCACCTAAGATCCACGGTAAAAGATGAAAAGAAAAGATAACTTACAGATGAATTGTCAGTAATGTTGTCAAAGAAGTGAGTAGACTAATTGAAATCGGAAGGAGAACGGAGCACTGTGACGCAGATAAAAATAAAGTATACGTTTACGACAAGAAACAAAAAAAAAACACTAAAACTATACTAAGATCTACGTACCTACGATATATTTCTGCGTTTTCTCACGTCAATCGCGAGTACCAATGAAAGTTTTGGTTTGTTTCTAGGCTGTAATTTCATAGTGCGAGTCTGAAAAGATCTCGAGGGAAATTAGTTATCTGTCAGTCCCACACATGTGGTTATTACGAAATAAGATGAGCACTTTGAGAAAGATACGAATTCTAGAATACAAAGTTACATGAGAACGTCCCAAAGAAATAAACGCGTTAATTGATATCTTTAGGTAACTTAGCTTGAAAACAATTTAAAATTAGTTTAAAAACTTTCCCCTTTTTATACGGATTGGAAATGGAAATCAACGCAAATGATTGTAATGATGATTACGCATAATAGAACAAATAACATTTTGACATCTTTCTAATATAAATGCGAATGTGTAGATGGATGGATGTTTAAAGGTATCCCCATAACGGCAGAGCGGATCTCCATGAAATTTGCAACATTTTTAGCGAGATCAACGCAGTCGTTCTGGAGATATCTTCAAACAAACATCTATCCATCAATCTAGACTTTCGCATTTATAATATTAGTAAGATTACTAGAATAGTTCAAAGGAAATGGCGCATTATATAATTTAATCACGTATTTCTATAAAAATATTAACGCCCATATAGTCAACCCTTCTGATAGCTTTCTTAAAGCTCTATGGATGAAATATAAAATTTTATTAAGGCAACAAATTGACGACGATCGTAAAAAATGGCACTTATTTTTACAAGTTAGTTTTATTATGTTTACCTTCTGATGGAATTGAATAGATAGTATTATTTTTACGTTCGTAATTTGATAGCTACGTGATGAAACGTTGTACAATGAATATTTGTTTCACCTTAACCGTATGTTTTCATTGTCTCAACATTTATACAAAAACATATTATTATTTCAGATTTTTCAAAGAGATAGACAGAGATAACAATATTACTTTATGTTGGTCTCTCAGATGTGTAAACCTAACAGAAAATACATCGTTACAGTTAATAATAAAAGAACATCATATTCAAGTGAGTATTTTCATAAAAAGCTATCTTATATATGAAATTCTCGTGTCACAATGTTAGTTACCATACTCTCTCGTCTCGTCCAAAACGACTTCACCGAGTTTTATGAAATTTTATACAAATATTCAGTAGGTCTGCGTGCGAACGGAGTCGCGGGCGACGGCTAGCTTTAATAATTTCCTGCTGTTTTATCAAGTGGAAAGGATTATGCAACATACAGGCAGTAAAAATAAGAGAAAATAAAAACTTGTAAGCAATTCATCAGGCGAGTGTTGCGAGGTTTGAACAATGGAAACTTTTAATGGGCCCTCGGGGGCGCAGCGCCCTCTCTGGAGACCGTCCAAAATTTAATTCGCTGACCATCAAATCAATTATAATTTACTCATTACATTACTTTAAGCGCTTTAAATCTGCTTCCGTTTCCACAATTCTAGCGAGAAAAGTTTAATTTCGGTATTTGGTAATTCAACTTCATATAACTCAGTAATAAATTGGTAGAGCGTCGGTGGCACAGGGGTTAAGCACTTGACTTGTAATCTGCAAGTCCTGGGTTCGAATCTCGCATAGTACTAACGTGTGTATCGATTTATATATGTACATATATCCTAAGTTCTTACGGTGGAGGAAAACATCGTGATGCAACCTGAACATATATGCGAAGAAATTCAAAGATATGTCTGAAGTCAACCCATACTGGGCCTGCGTGGTTTACTATGGAAAAATCATCCCTGACTTAGCTTAGTCTCCGAGGTCCGATAGTGACCTAATTATGATGAAAGTGGTAGATTTAAAACTTCTCATTGGAAGTTTTAAATCATCGAGCTCTATAGCGAGGTCTATGGCCTATTTTATCAAGAATGAAAATTTGATTTTGGAAAGATATTTGCATTTGTGGCTAGAGAGTAGATTACAAAAGAAGTTAGTTTTTTACATGATTTTTCTTATTACTGATAACGGATGCGCAAAACGGTGAGAGAAAGATAAAAGTTGCGTAAATATTTGCAATATCACGGACGTAAGATTAAAGCAAGATAAGATTTAATGACTGCTTTTTCAATTTAAAATTAAAAAAAAACAAACTCTATTTAAGTACCAGGAATACAGAAAATCAGAGGCCGAGTACAATAGATGAATAGAAATTACGGCTTTAAAGTTTATACCTAAAGTAGACTTTATAGACAAGAAATTATAATAATGGATTTGCATTTAAATTGAGTCAACATGCAGACGTTAAATTCCAACCAACTCTTAATTAAATTTCTTCTTTCTCCATCCGCTTATGTTTTTCTTTAACGTGAATTTAAATTTGATTTTTTAACATATTATGAATATGTAAATAATAAAAACAAAGTAATTTTAGACGTTATTAATTACAATCCTTTGGCACGAATGACGTGCTTTCGTTACAAAGTCTCCTGTCAGAATGAATAGTGAGGGGACACAAACGTCGACCTTTTAGTAAGGCTAGTGTTGAGTCAATACACTGGCTAATTTCTGGATTTTATTCGTAACAGTACGTTCATAGTTTCGTTATTAAAAAAAAGTACAATTATCAATATGAATTTTACCTAAAATTTAGTTTTATCAAGTATATAATATTGTTATTTTAATTTACGATAGAATAGAGGACCTAGCATGAAAATTTGCGAAAAAGCATTCGTAACGTGTTCGAAAAAAATTGTATTAAATTTGTACAGCGCCACCTATCGGGCGAATATTATCTCACACAAATTTTGAAATATATATTGTCGAAAACGCACGTCGTAAATATTCTTAATAGACTCTCAGCCATATTTTTTAAATTTTGGCTTGAATCATAAATATTGTCAGAATAGT